GGTCGTCCGGCCCTCCCCTGGAGCCCGTCGAGCACCCTGCCTGCAGCCGTGGCCTTCTCGGGGGCGTGTGGCGAGGCCCCTGCCTCCTCTTTGCACCTGCTTTACAAAGAGAGGTCTGGGGGCTGCTGAAAGCCCACTGCCCCCCTCTCCCCCTGCCTCCACACCCGGAGCAAGGGGTGCCAGGATAGCCCTTGCCTGCCCCACTGGGGACCCCAGGGGATGCAGGTGTCCACAAGCAAGGCAAAGCCCATGGGGTGGGCCTGAGGGTCCTCCGTTTCCACCAAGGGAGGCAGACACCCCTCAGCCATCCTTTTAGCTCTTGTCTCCATTTACCCTGGACAACTGCTGAGTCCGTCTGCACCCTCCAAAGTTGCTCTTAAGGCCGAAATTGGGCTTTGAAGCTGAACTTTCCTTCATTGTGGTGGGCAGCTATTTAAATGGGTGCTTTCACAGCTTTACGCCCACTGGTAGAGAACAACCATTTTTGTAACTCGGAAAATCTTTGGACAAGACCACCGTGTTGGCAGTAATCTCCATTATTCGCCACAGACTCGCCTTATGAGGAAAAAGGGTTAACTATCTACCATTTGGAAATCAAATCAAAACATCTTATCAAAGTTGTAAGCAACATTGTTCCAACCCTTGTCCAGGGAAAGGACACAAGGGCCTTCTCCCATTACAGACCCAGAACCCAAGCCAGGCACAGAGACAGCCCCCACCTCAGAAGAGCTCAGACCCTGCTCCCTCAGCATCCCAGGAAATGTAGGGAGGTGGGGTCATGGTGTGGTGCTCACTGCAGTGGAAATAGATACTTGGCAGATACTGCAGCCCGAGTATTTCCTATAAGCTCCAAAGGGGGTTTTCCCTTTCTCAGACACAAGCCCTTAGGAAGTGCCTTTTAGAAGCATCCAAGGCTTTAAATATTAGCAGAGCTTAAAATAGCAACAGATACAAGCATTTTTGTTTAATCTTTCACTCCTCTCTTCGATGCCTCCAAATAATTAACCAAGTAATTAAAGATAGGTCTTAGTGCAGTAAGATATAGCTCAAGGTCATTTATAAACTAGAATAGATGCACGTTATATTCAAAACCGTACATATTTCGGCCCTACTAACATTTCCCATCATACTTTTCACCCTACATTCTAAACTGTTTCAGTCATGGACCACATCTTCAGCTACATTTGCAGACCACCTTACAAATGAGGCCTAGATGTGGCCTTTGGAAAATATTCCACTAGACGTACTGCTAGCAGCAAATTTATTCCTTATCAACATTGGCCCATTCAAAATTCCCATAGCAATCCATAAGATCCTAGACACAGTATGGGCTGTAAAGCTTGTTCCATCTTTCAAGTTAAAAATCTCTCTTTCTGCCATTACGCATGCTAATCATTCATGATGGGACATTTATACAGTGTTTCTATAAGCTTGTGTAAAACATATTTTATATTTGCAATTAAAACATTAGGTTGACAGTGTAAGTACACTTTCTATAAAAATAGCCTTTTCTTTTCTTGGAGACATATACAGAATCTCCCCTAATAGTAGTGTCAATTATCTTCCTGAAAAATAAACGAAACTTTTAAGTGCATTTGGTAAATTCTTATCAGGAAATGATTAAATATGGGAACGGGGTTTTTAAATTGTGCTGAAATCTATCACTTCTATTGTTTTAAATGATAATTAGCTATAAATTGAACCCATGATTGCTGTCTGCAATCCTTTCCAAATTTTAAATGCAAACCCCCCAAACAAATTCTGCTATTAGTGCAGTAATACCGCCTACTTTGCAGATAATTGTATGGGGGCACACGAAGGCAGAATATGACCTACAGATCTCTCCATTTAGGTGGCTCATACACCTTCATAAAGAAGGTGGCTTCTTTAATCCTCTTGCTTGAGTATGAGCTCTTCAGTAGAGATCTATTATTATTGAATATGGTTTAAATAACTATCCAGCACTTTCTGTGTAATTAACATTGCATACGTTATGCCTGAAAGCAAGTAATCCATACTTTCAACTCAGTTTGCCAAATATAAATTCAGAGCTGGAAATAACACTATAGGCTGTAAGGTCCATCCACTACCTTAGAGCAGTAATGTATTCAGAAGTATTGCTCTTCAATTTATCAAGGAGGCAGAATAACTGCTTTGCCAACCCTGGTGACTGTAGTATGCCAAGCTCTCAGAAGCAATGTGTTGAATAACATGTGCCTGGTTTCAGTTTAATGGTTTTCTATTTTTGTGATCTGCCATTTATTCATTACCCTAACGTTTCCCTACTGCCTGTCATTTATATGATACAAAGTAACGTTTGCACCTACATTTATACAATGGTGGAATTAAAGCAGATTCTAGAGTTCTTCAAAACTTAAGCTTTCCGTCTCACCGAATCCCCTTTCACTGGCTTCCTGTGGGGTAAGAGATATGAATCTAGATACAAAGTAACAGCCAATTAATTAAATATAAATTCTCTAAAGAAATGAACACACAAAAAGGAATCTGTTACCTTTCCTAATGTGTCTTAATACCTGTCAGATATTTCTGGATGCATAATTTACTCATGTGTGTTTTAATTATACAATATAAAAATATGTTATATTACCCTCAGATATTAAAAGCAACTAAAGATAAATCAGGAGTCTGATTAGAGCTGACAACTTTTAAAATGATCTTGGATATTAGTTGTTTTGTATGCTCAAATCACAGAAATGATATATGACCTCTAATAAGTACACACTTATATAAATGAGATGAACAAATTACCTCACACAGGATGTCTTGTTGTGGTTAATGAACAAAAAATACCAAAGATTCGGACACACCTGAAGGAGACAAATTGACTGACAAATATGCAATTTCAGTACAGTGAGGAGTACAAGCTAATCTAATAAATTGTTAAAGAAGTTTAAATATTGGCAAACATCTCCAATAAAGTTATTAATGCAGTGGTTCAAAAGCTGAATTATTCAATAAGACCAACTAACTGGAAAGGTTTAACTGAAGAAATGCATAGATATTAGGTTTACATAAGAGCACTCATTAAGAATGTTCATGAACTTAAACAATTAATTGGAACGAGCAAGGTAGTTTGGGTTGTTTGTCTGAGCCCAATTAACATTTCAGAGAATATCACCTAAACAGTTTGGGAAAGAAGGCATCAGACATCCTTAAAGAAGCAAATGGTCAAACCCATCCCTGATGTAACTTCCCTGCAGTAAGCATAATCACACCACTGATTAATTTGGCACTTGGTGTTCTCTGGGTAGCCTCTACATCAGTAGCGTCTTCCCAGAGAAAGAATTGTAATAGCTGATACCTTGTTTTTTTGTTCCTGGAAAATTTGCAGACAGTGAAAGTACAAGGGAATGACATCTCCCACAAGCTGCAGATTTCAAAAGTGAGAAAAAAGGATGAAGGCTTGTATGAGTGCAGGGTGACAGATGCCAACTATGGAGACCTTCAGGAATACAAGGCCCAGGCATTTCTCAAAGTCAATGCTAACAGCCACTCTCGGCGAATGCAGGCCTTTGAGGCATCTCCAATGTGGCTGCAAGACACGAAACCTCGCAAAAACATCTCAGCAGCTGTTCCAAGTAGCATCCACAACTCTGCCAATCAGCGTGTGCGTGCCACCTCCAGCCCTGAAGCAGCAGCCAAAATCCCCAAACAAAGTCCACAATCAGGTATGGTAAAGCATTTTGAGCATTTCATTTGATTGCTTACCAGCATGAGGATAACTCGACAAGATAACCAGCAGTTGTGACTAGGAAGATTGTGATGCTCATTTATTCCTCCTTCTTCCTGGCCTGATCCTTCCTGGCATCTCTTTACCTCGTAAGAGATGAAAAATAAGCTTTTGGGCAAAAGAAACAAAAAAACATTAAATTCCTGTATGTGGCATTCATCTCACCTGGCTTTATCCATCTAAGGTTAGGTCTTTAATCTAAGTTTAGCATTCCTCATAATCAGCAGAGAGAGAGAGAGGCATGTCAAGTGAATGACTCATCTCATTTTAAGATGGCTGTGCACGATAAATGAAATGAAACACCCACCAGGCAGCGTTTCTTCCTAGATTTAGTTCAGTCACCTAACTTTTATACCTCTAATACTAGGTGAAATTACTCTACTTTCAGTAGCAGTCCTATTTTCAAAAGGAAGTAGGCTTCTAAACGTCTAAGCAGACCATAGATAGGCACTTTTTAATGGGTTTTTGACAATTTTTTTCTCTTATGTAGACTTTAGGAAGAATTTCACAGAGAATGCAGGTTTGTCATCTTTAGCAGTGTGACCATACATTTTGAATCAAGCATTAAAATGGCAATGCCTCAACTGTTTGCCACTTAGAAATGGACTACTACACATTTATTTGGAAAATTTCATACATCATTGTATAAATGACCTATATTGCTTTTTTTGCATTTTCTACATTGATACAGTAAATTCTGCAGTTATGTAAAGGTACATGGATCTACAGGAGGTGAGACTGTTCACCACTGCAATAGTGGTGCATTAGTGCACCATTGTGCATCATTGCAATAGTGAGGTGGACAGGACAGAGAAATTAGACGTGTTGTAAATGATCAAAATTTTTCTGGAAAAAAAGTTGTGCAAGTTAAAGCATCTCTGGATAATTTCTGTTTATACTGAGGTCCCATCTTAGCAAGACAGATGGTCACCATCTAGCTTAAAACACATAGTGAAAGCTAACCCAGTTTGTTCTGATTCTTCATTTTTCTGCTGGCAAATGCCATGTCATCGAAACCAAAACTGGGAGTACAACAAATTTCATACAATACCTACTGTTAAATCACTTTTGTCCTACAGGCAAACTATTGAAGAAAAAAAACATTTTTATAATATATTTCATTTACAGAGTAGAACAATCCTGTTATTCATATGAAAATTATTGTTATTGCTACTATAAAAGATGATGCATAGACTATCACCATTTTACCTCTGTATATGTTAAAATCTTTATTA